TTGTGCATCTGAAGAAAAATCTTTTTGTTTTAATTTGGCACATATATTTTTCAAACCAGAAATTATGGGAATGATTGATGAAGTGTTGCTGACTTAATTGGTTTTAAAATGACTGCCATTTCATGCAGTACTTCCCATTCCGTGTTTAAAATTTTAGGTAAATTTTTATTATTTAAAATTACAATTGTGGCTTTAATTGGCTCTCCTAGCAATATAAACCTATCAATCATTTGATAAGTAGAGTTCCATCTTGTGGGAACATCTTGGATTAATTTATTGCTGCCTGCGGTCATTTGACATTTTCTTAGTTTTTCTGCAGCTGTAGTGCTTTTTTTAAAATATTTCACTATTGTTCAGACATTATCAATTTATGGTATTATTATTGAAGCTTCTTTTCACAATTAAATTCAGATTATGTTTAAAGCATGACATGTATTCACATTCAAAATACTTTGTTATCACACTTTTAATATTTATTGCGTTATTTGTGACTGCAAAATTAATTTTTTCCAAAATCTCCCACTCTTCACATATCTTTTTTAAATTCTCTGACATATTGGCACTTGTGTGAGGTCCAGTAATTTGAATATAATCCAACAGTGACGATTCTAATTTATTAATAAAACGTTTCTACATTTCGCAATGTCCAAATGTCTGTTGTTAAACATACTGTACTTGCATTTTTCAGTTTTTGTTTACAGTTATTTTTACATTTTTCAAAAGCAGATGGTATGAGTGCATGTGATATAAATTTCCGGAAATTCATAATTTGGATTTAATGCCTTAACAAATTCTTCGGATCCAATGGCTTCTACTATTCTGAATGACTGCAGATCTTTTATAAACTTTACAGTTTATTGTTGACATTTTTTTTTTGGTAAAAATGTCGTTATTTGTAGTTGATTTGATGTTAATAAATTTGCAGTTCACCCTGGACTATCTTGTGGTGCTGATGCTGGTGGTGATACAATGTTGCTTGGTCCATGTTGAGGAATGTCTGGCTTTAATTATAAATTGTGATGGCTGTGGCTGAAAAAAATATACAAAAATATATTCTACATCGATAGATACATGAAAGCATGCAAAAGAATGCTTCTAGATTTAAGTATAATAACTTTTTTTTATATTATTTTATTTTACATATATGGATAAAAACTAAATTACAATTTACTTATTACATTTTATAATTAAATATACCTGATGTGTTCTCCATGCTAGTGAAATAGTAGGATGAACCGCACTTAAATGTTTTTTTTTAAATTTGAAGTGGTTGTCTTGTATAATAATTTTTTTTTACATATTTTGCAGGTAGCATATCCAGTATTGCTAACTGGTGTAAAAAAACTTCACACATCACTTCCTCCAAATGCTTTGGCTTGGACAGACATTTTACTCATGATCTTTCTTTTAGCACATTAGAAATGAAACTGAGCACGAGAAAAAGATTTCCAATCTTTAACAGTGATCGCATTTCGCGAGTGGAGTTTCCTTTAAACTGCCTAAAAGGATAAATTCCACTAATACTGTTTCGATTTTCGGCTATACGTTTCAAAAATTAGTTACATCCTATTTTATATATAATATTTTAATCATGCTATATTTAAAAGTATGAAAGGAATAGAAATATATTTTTGTAAAACTAAGTCCATTCCTTAGCATGTAACGCTGAATTAAAGATTTTATCTACCTATCTATCTGATAATAATATGTATATTTTTATATGTGCTGATAATTATGAAAATGCAAGACTTAGAGAAGTTGAAATTTTAATTTAATCTATGTTACATTAATTTACATTACAATGGTATGCAAGAATTTTTGTATGAAAAATGTTTAGTTTATGTCACTTTCATAATCACAAGTACCATATTTTTTGTATTCTTAAATAAATATTTCCGATATTACATATTAATAATTAATATAATTATATTGTCATTAACCTAAATGTTAGAGACATAATAAAGAAATACACAACCATGAATTTACAGATTGTTTTATTATCATATTTTAATTTATATTACATTATCTATATTAATGTAGGATGTGAACAGGGAGAAGGGAGCAACAACGGGTCAACGTTGTAAGATTTAATAAAGAAACTAGAAAAAGAACAAAATGATAGATACAAACGACTCGGTGGTCACTTTACGACTGCTTCTTTCGCTCTTCTGGCGCATCACCGACACACCGCTCTCACACGCACACACACAGCCGTCGTCTTTCGGTAGCTTTTGTATAGCAACCGCTGCGCTAGACCGCCCCACATTCGGTTTTTTTTTACCTATCTTCAGTCTCTGAAGGTAAGTATGCGTATGGTTTCATGTAATTAGTGGCTGCACAAGTTATTTTTGGTCCCTCATCGTCACCTATGCGAATAACTTCATACCAATTACAATAATGTCTCTCCAATAGGCGACTAGTTTGGATTCTACAACTGGCCACATACAGTATTGTGCGAATTAATGTGAACACAGAGCAAAAATCAGTTTTCTGATAATGGCAACGCTGTTGTGTAGATTCTGGCAATTGTTTTGATGCAAATCACATAACCTCATATTCGTTATTATATTAGCGTCGAAAACACATGCCTTGCGGTATATCGTACGTTGCTTTTTGGGAATTTATGTTATTCTGAACCAATACGCGATAACATTTCAGTCGGTCGTAATTGTCTGACATCATGGATATCACGCCGAGGAAACGGGAAAAGATCATTACGCTTAGTGAACATACACCAATGACACAGAGAAACATTGCAAAGGAATGTTGTGTCAGTTTGGGTGCTGTAAATAAAATAATAAAACAGAAAAGGGAAACAGGATCCGTCGAAGTGCAGCGAAAGGGAAAATGTGGGAGAAAACGGAAGACTAGTCCTCGATATGAAGCTTTTCTTTTGCGAGACAGCAAATTGCATATCAGAAAAACCGGCTACGACCTCCAACAAAATTTAGAAAAGGCTGGTGTAAAAATTCACGACTCTAAGGTGCGCAGAAGACTCTTGGAAAGTGGGAGAAAAGCCATAAGGCCGCAGAAAAAACAACTCCTGACTGTCCCTATGATGAAGAAGATACTAAATTGGGCCGAAAAATATGCCCATTAGACAGTACAGGACTGGAAGAAGGTGTTGTTTTCAGACGAGACACACTTTTTAGTGCAGAGCCAGCGCTCAAAATTCGTTCGTAGGGGTGCGGATGAAAAACTCACTGCAGCTCATATTGTGCAGTCAGTGAAACATCCTATGAAGAAGATGTTCTGGGGCTGTTTTTCGCACTCGGGACCAGGCACTCTTGTTCCAGTAGAAGGCATGATGAACAGTGAGAAATATAAAGCAATGCTGGAAGAACATTTAGTTCGAGAGCTGGAGAAAGTCCAGGTCAACGACGACGCAATTTTTCAACAAGACTCAGCGCCATGCCATGTTTCCAAGTCTATGGTGAAATATTTCAAGGACAAGAAGATTACCATTCTGGACTGGCCTGGAAATTCACCAGATCTCAATCCAATTGAGAATCTGTGGGCCATTTGCAAGGTCCGATTACAAAAAATGGACTGTACCACGACAATTAAAACGGTAGAAGCAGTAATTCAGGTGTGGTTTCGAGACGAGACAGTTAAGAATAATTGTAAGAATCTAATCGATTCCATGCCAAGAAGAGTGCAGGCAGTCATTAAAGCGAAGGGGGGACATATTTCATATTAACTAGTAGTAAGAAAACTATGTATATTCACCTAACACTAGTTTTATTTCAAATACATGATATTTACCAGAAAACGCTCTGTGTTTACATTAATTCGCACAATACTGTAGATGGTCCTACGCTTAGGCCTGCGTCATTGCTGCGCCTATGTTATCTCGCTCGCAGTCAGTCCAGCATGTAACGACTATACCACTCGGTTTCTTTTACGAGATTTCACGGCTGGACAGTTCATAATAGAATAATATAACTTTTTTAATTTTACTTTTTTTATCTCAAAATTTTTTTTAACATGGTAAGATTTTTCTGATGAAAATGAGATTAAACACGATATAATTTGAACAACATTTACTTATTAATACTTATTGAGTGATTAATTTAATCCTTATAGTGCCGAGCAACGATATATTGCGTATGCGATGGCGCTTGACTATTCGCATCGCGACAGATCTCTGTCTCAAAATAAATTTATAAAACGTTATGTGAGAAAATCCGTCCCGAAGACGATGAAGCGAGCATCTTGAAGCCAGGCCCAGCGCGCTTGGTGGGGACGACTCGCCCCTTTGGGTTTTTCCCTGGGCCTATTCGAGTAGGGGTGGACAGGGATCAGCAGGACGACGCGTCCTCACTCTTCCCGAGACCTTCAACTTTTGCAGACGACGTCCGATTAACGTAGATACAGATTCTGAGTAAAATACATTGTTGTGGAAAACGTAGATACGTTTAGTGAATTTTACGCCCACCCTACGCTGAGTCGGAGTATTTTTCTGACAAATCAGAAGTGGGATTACCCGAGTGTTTCGTGTTTGTGATTAGTGCAGTGCATAAGTTGAGGTGCTTCGTAATCACAGGTAACCGAAAGCACATAACAAGGAGAAAAGAAATGTCGTGCAACAGTACGTCTTCTGGGAACGAAGAAAGGAGACGCGATCTTTCCGCGGAGCGCCGAGATGTCGCGAGGAACATCCCGGGTGAAAGAGGGGAGTCGAGGATGGAGCAGCTGGAACGGTTGGTGGAAGAAATGCGGGATAGGTCGCGTACGCGGGGACGTTCGCGTCGCCGATTCGCCGCGAGTCGCACGAAGGGATGACGATCACAAGCGACCGATTTGAGAGATTGGAGCGAATGGTCGAGGAATGCACCTATCGCTCGTATTCGGAGGTGGGCAAGTCCACGATTGCGCGCCTCGGAGACGAGATGCTGATTCCGGTATCCGATCCGGAGAAGGATGAAATCGTGATCGAACAGTGGATCACCCACGTGGGCGAGATGCGGAAAAGATGCGGTTGGGACGACCTGTCCGTCATGCGGCTTATCGCGACGCGGCTGCAAGGTCACGCGAGGCAGTGGTACGAGACTCGCTCGCAGGTCACGACCACTTGGGCGGAGACGAAAGTGCTTCTAGGGGCACAGTTCAGAAAGAGCGTCCCGTTCAATCGACTCTTCAAGGAAGCCGCGCTTTACGAAGCGTCGCCGGGGCAGAGTCTAGGAGATTATTGCTTCCAGAAACTAATAAAATTACGAAAGCTCGACATCACCATTCCAGACAGTTCCTGGTAGACATGGTGATCGGAGGTATTCCCGACGACAGCATCGCTCGAACGGTGCGCTCGGCGCGACACGACGACGCCAACGAGTTGTACGCGTTCATGAACACGTTGGGGAATATGCCGCATCAACGGACCCAGTAAGGACAATCGCACGGTGCACAATGGTGGCACGAAAGCAGGCCAGCGGCGGTGGACAGGGGGAAGGAAAATCGCATGGGCGACCCATCAGGGAGAAGGCGCAACGAGCAAGCAGACGACGGCCGACCACTCGTATGAACTGGAAATAATGGTAGTGGTCCTTGCGATGCACCACTTTTGCGTTTATTTATTGGACCTGGAATTTAAAGTGGTAACAGACTGTAACGCGCTAAGGACCATATTCTCGAAAAAGCATTTATTGCCTCGCATAGGGCGTTCGTGGCTCGAGGTACAGGGGTTCACGTTCGAGTTGAAGTTTTACACGTGGACGTCGCCGCAGCCGTACGTTACTGCCAAAGTTTAAAGGGCCTTTCAAGGTACTGACCGCCCTACCAAACGATCGGTGCGAGGTAGCTGACCTGCGGGAAGGAGCAGGGAGGACGAGGACGATGGTGGCTGCCGATCAGGTGAAACCATAGGTTTCGATTCAGGGGAACGATCGTTAGGACGACTCGACGAAACTATCCCGGGAGAGGGGACGTAAACTGGTATTTACGTACCTCGCATCTAATATTTTGTTTATGTGTTTAGAGGCCCACCTGAACGGATGAACGACAAGAAAGGGTTGCTGACGACCGTTGAATCCAAAGGCGATGTTAATGCCCGTGATTATTGCAAAAATGAACTTTCGAGCTTTGTTTGTACTTGCACGTGCCAACTTTATTTCAAAAACTTCTCGAAGGACCACCCAGTTAGACTGGGACTTGTGAATTGTTCGAATGCTATCGTGTGTTGTTACAATTTCAGCTGGTTGCTCCTTGGTGGTAGTTGGACGACTGACCCTCGACGTCGTCTCTCGGACGTCCGTGGGAGAGTTTTTTGTTAGAACACGCTGATTAATTAAATGGTTAACAATTACATTTACCAATCAGGGTGTCTAATAGCGTTTTCACCGCCCTTCCAGCGCCCTTAGCGCGCTGTCACCTTGGAAGGGTGGGAGACGGCCACGTGGGGTGGGCGGAAAGTCCCAAAAAGCTGGAATTTCCTCCGGGTGACTCATCGGCAAGCGTACCGTTACAGGTAGATGTGCCGTTCGGAAATTCGTGGTTTATGGCATGTTCTTAGGCTATTGAGCGCGAGGGATAGAAATTACTAAAATCCAACAAGCAATTCTAGTGATCCTCGCCAGGGTGTAATTAGACACGTACAAGCCGTAAACGAAAATCCTGAACTCAAAAATAACCGTTGCCGTTCGATCTTGCCATAAACCGTGCCTGTGAAGACCGAACAGGCGATTAATGTGGCGCGGGAAGCAGCGCAAGGAGACGCTGCGTCGGAAATGGAGTAACACATCGGCGTTAGGATACTGCATCACGGCGTCACGCCACGACGGTTGTCAGTGACCGAGGATGGGTACGTGGTGCCCTAGGTCGTTTAGGTGTGACCAAGGATGGGTACGCGGTGCCCTAGGTCGGTTAGCTGACCGTGAAAATGCGACGATGCATTGTGTCACGGTAGCGAACGATTGACTGAGGCAAGCATGGCGGGGTGCTATGTCGAAGCAGTCAATTTCGGCGGTTGATTTGAATGGTGCTGGCCACACCATGTCAAATAACCGAGGTTGTTTTCCGGCCAGTACTGGCCCTATTATGTCGGAAGCAACTGGCGTGGCTTTCGATAAGCGCATGGACAGTGTGGATTCACTGTCGGTGGATAAAGTAATTTCCACGCATCTGTAATGCATCGACGAGTCAAGGAGATTGGACGCTGGACTTCAATGGCAAGTGCAGTAGCACTTTGAACTTCGTGGGACAATAGCGACGAGTGCAGGTAGCGCTCGTAATCCCAACGGTGGACATGAAAAACGAGCGCAGGTAGTGCGTACTACGTAGGAATTCACCAATGGGCGCGGTGACACTCAACGGGCGGCACGCAATGCGAAGCGTGCCAAAGCAAGGACTCGATCACACTGATCGAAATGATAAGTTGTCTGCTTTCTTATGGGTTGTGGTAGTTGCGACCTGTACAGAAGCTAACATATCTTGATTTCAGATAACACGTCTGAGGACAGACTTATCGTTAGAATGGCCGATTGTGAGAAAATCCGTCCCGGAGAACGGTGAAACGAGCATCTTGAAGCCAGACCCAGCGCGCTCGGTGGGGACGACTCGCCCCTTTGGGTTTTTTCCTGGGTCTGTTCGCGTAGGGGTGGACAGTCCTCACTCTTCCCGAGACCTTCAATGTACACTTTTGCAAACGACGTCCGATTAACGTAGATACAGATTCTGAGTAAAATATATTGTTGTGAAAAACGTAGATACGTTTAGTGAATTTTACGCCCACCCTACGCTGAGTCGGAGTATTTTTCTGACAGTTATAAATGGTTGAATAAATAAATAAATAAATAAACCAAAAAGAAATTGAAAAAACAAATTTTTCCAAAATTTGAGAGTTCCTCTCTCGTCCAATAAATTTATGGGAAGTGTCGACGTATTGCTTTATACTTATTTGGACGAGAAAAGAACTCTCAAATTTTGGAAAACAGTAGTTATTTCAATTGTTTCAAGGATGGTAGGTACTGAATGCATACATCTTTTTATGTTTTATGTAATCGCGGGGAACCGATTTCGGATTTCTACCGTGATTAATTTATCGCTCGAGCTACCCACCGAATTTACATTCGCCGTTTTCGTCGCCTCTTTTCGAGCCTGCTGACAGTCTGCCGCGCGATGACCAAATTCGTTACATGCGAAGCATTTCGGACCCTTATCTTTATATATACAATCTTTCAATTCGTGCTCTTTCGAACCGCATATTAAACAACGTAGTTTCTTATTTGCCTCGCTTCATGTCATCTTTTTGTCTCGAACCGTGTCCTATTTAACAAATTTTCTCTTCCGAATCATCGATTCTTTCATTCTATCGTACTTTTCTAACGCATTTTTTAATTGACACAACGTATTCATTTTCTCGAGATAATTGCAACACAAACTTTGGGGGAATAAAATGAACAGGCACCAACAACGTTTTTTGTAAATTAAAATCAAAATTGAAAAGAAATATTTTTGGTGTTGGTTGTTCTGCACATATAATTAATAATGCTTTACAATATGGATGTCACATATTACCTGTCGACATGGAACCTATTTTTCAGTATATACAATTCGGACTGAAACCCTGAAAGAATTCTGTGCCGAAGCAGACACCCAATATAGACAGCTGCTTTACTACTCTAAAACTCGTTGTTTGAGTTTATTCCCAGAAATCAAACTGTGATGCCCGGTTTGCTCCAATTCCTCGAAACTAGGAGCAGATATTGGGGTATCACTGAATTAAAACACTTAGGGATCGTCGTTGCGTGAAATAGAACTTTATTTGACAGAGATTTTGACGTTACGTGACGTGCGCGTGGTAGAGTGTAGAATGAACGCGGAAATGGCGAAAATAGGGCTATTTAAGGGTTCTGGGAAGATGGACTTTGGCTTGTGACTATGCAGGAGAGTTGGAAGGTGAAGAGTCCAGTATGAGTAATGGTGAAAGTGGGTGACTAGTTATAAATACAGATAGAACTAAGAACTAAGAAGGAAAATATTTGAAGGTGTAACAGAACGAATTTTTCAACTTTATCAACCTTTGAAGAATTACTTTGAAAGTATTGAAAGACCATCCATAATAATAAAACAATTTTTTAAGAATGATCTGTCAAAAGCGTATTTATTTTTCATCCACTCTACTATGAATATTTTGCACACCAGAATAGAAAAATTAGAAAAAAAGGAAAACTCTGTTATAGAAACAAACAAGATACTCTTTGCAGTTATAAAAAACTTAGAAGTCAAACTGGCGAACAATTTCTTACCGATAAACGTTAAGAATATTTTAATAAATCAACATGGTAAAAATGAAAATGAAAATGGTAAAAATGAATTTATGAAAAATTTAATTTCATTCTATGAAGAAATGAAAGATTACATTGAAAACTGGACCTCACCTTTAAATGATTTTACTGCGTTTGATTGGATAGATTTGTCGACGATAATTGGAGATACACCGTGGAGCACTCTTCAATATTGCATTTCATTGTTCCAAGGAAAGGAAATTGCAATAGATGACACAAAATTGTTTCATGAATGGATAAATTTAAAGACATTCTGTCAAGAGTTAACTGAACAAGATAAACAATTAAATATAACTAAACTATGGTTAAAATATTTTAAAACTCCGAATGCCCATACTTATTTTGAATAAGTATTGCTCACAATGCCAATGTCGAAAGAATCTTTCCTTTAATTACATCACAATGGACGAAAGAATGAAATTCGTTAGGATTACATAAAATTTCTTCATTAATAAAGATAAATTACAATTTTAAAGATTATACTTGTAGTGACTTTCATAAATTTCTCATCACCAAGAAAGATGTTTCAATGACCATTGGAAAGTTTGATAAATACAAATATATATATCATTAATGTAGTTTATATATAGTGGTACAGTAAAGATTCGGTAAGAGTTCCAAATTCGGGACCGCTGTGGAACAGCTACGAAAAAAGTGGTAGGTTTCTCAAACTCTTTGCATTTTACCGGCACCGACGGATACAGAAAGAGACAGCAGACAAAGAAGAGAGAGGTATTGAAAGTCGACCCAGTCCTAAAATATCAAACACTTTCTTTTTTTTTTGTTTGGCGCGGGGGAAATCTTCCAAAGACACCCCGCCTCCCCCGGGGGAGGGAGGCGGGATAGTGTGGGATTTTTACCCACTAAAACCCCCGCGGTGATCCCCATCGGGCGCGCTGGAGAGAGCCGCGGGAACTTTGTATGACGTCCGTAGCTCTCCCTGCGCCATGGCTTGCGCCCCGATCTCGGGGGAGTTGGCGGTCACACCACCGCCCCCTCCCCAATCCTCCGCCCGTAGGCTCGGCGGCGCCGGGGGG